CCTTCTCCAGCTCTGTCCAGAACCCTCTGTTGTGATCCTGGTCAGAGCAGTCAGTGGTGGTAGCTGGGCACCATCTAGCTGTACTGGACTCAGCCCGGTGGAAGCCTTGGTAGCTGTGGACAATTAGTCCTTCCGACTAATCTTTTCCTTGTGTCCTGTTCTCTTCATTCTCCCTTGCTCCCGAATGGATAAGACCAGTGGAATATCTTAGATGGCCGCTCACAGGCTTTTAGGGTCTTCCTCTTTTTTGCTGACCCTTACCTTTACCAAGCATGATGTCCTTCTCCAGGGACTGGTCCCTCCTAATAACATGTCCAAAGTATGTAAAATGAAGTTTCGCCATCCTTCCTTCTAAGGAGCATTTTGACAATATAATCTTTTTCAATATTGCCATTTGAGTCTTGAATTTTTTTCTTCAGTTCTTTCAGTTGAGAAATGCTGAGCATGTTCATCCCTTTTGGTTTTCTAACTATTGTTCTTTGCACATCTCGTTATGATACTTTACTTGGTCTACGCGAACTGCTCTTTGAAATTTTGTTCATCTCTTTTAGTTCATCATTTCTTCCATTCACTTTAGCTACTTTACGTTTAAGAAAGTTTCAGAGTCTCTTCTGACATCCATTTTGGTCTTTTCTTTCTTTTCAGCTTTTTAATGACCGTTTACTTTCTTCATGTATGATGTTCTTGATGTCATCCCACAACTCATCTGGTCTTTGGTCATTAGTATTTGATGTGTCAAATCCTGTTCTTGAGATGGTCTCTAAATTCAGGTGGAATATACTCAGTGTCATCCTTTGGCTCTTGTGCACTTGTTTTACTTTTCTTCACTTCAACTTGAACTTACATATGAGCAATTGATGTTCTGTTCCGCAGTTGGCCCATGGCCTTGTTCTGACTGATGATATTGAGCTTCTCCATCGTCTCTTTCCACAGATGTAGTTGATTTGATTCTTGTGTATTCCATCTGGCAAGGTCCATGTGTATAGCTGTTGTTTATGTTGTTGAAAATAGGTATTTGCTATGAATAAATTGTTGGTCTTGCAAAATTCTATCTTGCAATCTTCAGTGTCATTTCTATCACCAAGGCCATATTTTCCAACTACTGATCCTTCTTCTTTGTTTTCAACCTTCACATTTCAATCACCAGTAATTATTAATACATCTTGACTGCATGTTTGACCAGTTTCAGACTGCATAGGTTGTTAAAAATCTTCAATGTCTTCTACTTTGTCCTTAGTGGTTAGTGCATAAATTTGAATAATAGTCATATTAACTGGTCTTCCCTGTAGGCGTATGGCTATTATCCTATCACTGGCAGCATTGTATTTCAGGATATATCTTGAAATGTTCTTTTTGAGATGAATGCAAAGCCATTCCTCTGCAATTTGTCATTCCCAGCATGGTAGACCATAGGATTGTCAATTCAAAACAGCCAATATCAGTCCATTTCAACTTACTAATGCCTAGGATATTGATTTTCAAGCATTTTATTTCTTTTATAACAACTTCCAATTTTCCTAATTTCATACTTTGTACATTCCACTTTCTGATTATCAATGGATCTTTGCACCTGTTTTTTCTCATTTTGGGTTGTGCCACATCAGCAAATGAAGGTCTTGAAAGCTTTATTCCATCTATGTCATTAAGGTTGACTCTACTTTGAGGAGGCAACTCTTCCCCAGTCGTGTTTTTAGTACCTTCCAACTTGAAGGGCTCATCTTCCATCACTATATCAGACAATGTTCTGCTGTTATTCATAAGGTTTTCACTGGCCAATTTTTTTAGAAGTAGATCGTGAGGCCCTTTTTCCTAGTCTGTCTTAGTCTGGAAGCTCTGATGAAACTTGTCCACCATGGGTGACCCTGCTGATGTTTGAATTACCAGTGGCATAGCTTCCAGTATCACAGAAACACACAAGCCAGCAAGGTACACCAAACTGACATATGAGTGGTCGTTTCATTGTTAATGTATAGAAACACAATTGATTTTTGTGTGTTGATCGTATAATCTGTAACTTTGCTGAATTTGTTTATTAGCTCATTTGTTTTCTTTCTTTTTTTACCTTATTACTCTGTCTAGATCTTCCAGTACAATGTTGAATAGCGAATGCTGGCATCCTTTTCTTATTACTGATCTAAAGGAAGAAGATTTCAGCCTTTCACCATTGAGAATAATGTTAAGTGGGGACATTTGTTTATTTTAGAAGCTGTTTGTGCTTTAATTTTCAAATAGTGGAGTGAAACTGTTCTACTTAGGAACCTAGGGAATTCTCTGAAAGTCCGCCCATTCTCAAAGATAATCACTATTCATGCTTTGAACATTGAGCTTTAAATGTATTTTAAAAATTTTTTGTTAAAAAATAGGACCTGGTATAAACTGTCCATGTTACTAAAACAGGCAACAAAAGCTGATGTTTTATCGTTGTTTTATCTGTGGCAGCTGAGACAATGGAAGTATAGCATGCCATTAATGTTGGAACCTAGCATTTTGAAGCAAACCACCTTTGGAAATGTGGCTGGTGATTCTAATTGTGCTTTTTAAAATGAAATTACAGATTGGTTTTGTGCTGTATCCTCCCAATGGAGGTCCTGCATGGGAGCCAACGGATCATGACAACATTATGTTTGTCACCATATGCTTTTGCTGGCATTATGCATTCAGCCTTATCGTCTCTGGATTGAATTATGTCTTTGTCACCTGGTAAGTGTTGAATTTAGAATTCAAATGGGGATTTCATTCCTTAGCATTCCAGAAGACAGTTTAGCATAGCAGAAAATTTTCTGCAAACACAGAAATTCTCGATAAAAAGAATAAATATTTGTTTAAAGTTGAAATAGCTCAAAAGTACCTCTGCTGTGCCTCTGACCTGTGTGTATCCCTTCAGTTCACTCTTCTGAACCCCCACATCTTTGCATTTGCTATCTCCTCTTCCTTAGTGGTCCTCTCCACACCTCCAATAAGCTCTCCATTTGCCCATGTTATTCAATTATGAAATTTCCAAAACTTGGTGTCATTTTTTTGACCACCTTGTATGTGTCCTGTTAAATTTTGAATACCTGATTAATTTGAAATTTATGCTACTGCCTCTAAAAGTCATATTCTATTGATGCATGTTTTTACAGTGTTTCTTAACACTGTCAGGAGCAAGATTAACAGAGTGATAAGAACACATATTTCTAGCTTTGCTACTTATCAGTTGTATAACTTCGGGCAAATTACTTAACCACATTAAAACTCAGCTTCAACATTTGCAAAATGGGGAAAATAGTAGTCCTTAAATAAGATCATGTATTTAAACTGCTTAGGAAATAATAAGAGCTCAATAAATGCTGTTGTTACTGTTGTTGTTGTTGTTCTTTTTCTTCCCCTTCTCCTCCTCCTCCTTCTTAGGTATCAAATAATGAAAGAGCTGTAGATTCTGCATATGAGGCATTCTTAGTCCTATTGAGAGAGACAGACATTTAAAATACTGTGCAATAATTGGAAATAGTGGAATAAAGCACTATTCAAACTCAGAGAGGGCTCCCCACAATTGAAAATTCAGCTGCAGCTTGAGGGACGTGCAAGAATAGAAAGGGATGAGCACAATTCATCTTTCTAAGTTAGATAATGCCAAACCACAATTGGCTTGGTTGATACCAGTTACTAGGCACACAGGCACCTAATCCTTCAGACTTTCAGCATTGTTGGAAATGCTGTGTATCTGTAGTGTTCAGTATGGTGTTCAGCCACTAGGTATGTGCAGCTATTGAGCACTTGAAATGTGGATTGTGTCACATTAATTTTAATTAATTTAAATAGCCACATGTGGCTGTTGGCTACTATTTTGGACAGTACACAGCTAACAGTTTCTCCAGATTTCTCAAATGCACAAGGGGTGAGGTCCAGCCTCTGCTGGAACCAGCTTTCCACTCTACTGCTGAAGTAGTTTTGATGCTAGGTCTCTGAGTGAGGAAACTATTTCCTTGTTTAGCTCCCAAGATGTCTCTTCTAGGTTTCCAAGATGCCAGCCCACTTTGATCATGCAGTTGCCACCTTCTAGACATCTAAGTGGCTTTGGGTGCTGGAAAATTTTACCTTTTCATTGACTTGATTTCTAGCAGTCCTATTCCATTCCTCAGAAGCATGTGCATGAGCTGTTTGTTAAGACTGGCTCTGCCGTGGAGTGAAACTTGGCTTCTTCTTCTGTTGTTCTAGGCTAACATCTGGGCCTCATCTCCTAATGGGCAGGGCAGCTTCCAGGAATAAAACCAGCATTCAAGGAGTCTCTCTACTTCATGTCAGCTCCCCTCCAGAGCCAAACGAAGACTACTGTCTCTTCCTATTTCAAAAACCCGCAGATACCTAATGAGCCTCTTCTCCACTTACAGTTCTGTAGAAACCAGAAACTCCATTTATATTTTTCAAATGCTATCCCCTCTCTACTGCCACCCAACATCACACACCTTATTCTAAACTTTTGACTGTGAAGTTCTCTCTACGTATCATGTCCAAGTTAAATACCCATGCCTTAGTCATCTAGTGCTGCTATAACAGAAATACTACAAGTGGATGGCTTTAACAAAGAGAAATTTATTCTCTCACAGTTTAATAGGCTACAAGTCCAAATTCAGGGCATCAGCTACAGGGGAAATCTTTCTCTGTCAGCTCTGGAGTAAGGTCCTTGTTGTCAATCTTCCCCCAGACTAGGAGCTTCTCCACGCAGGAACCCCAGGTCCAAAGGATGCGCTCTGCTCCCAGACTGCTTTCTTGGTGATATGAGGTTCCCCTATCTCTCTGCTCGCTTCTCTCTTTTATATCTCAAAAGAGACTGCCTTAAGACACTATCTAATCTTGTAGAACTCATCAATATAACTGCCACTAATCCATCTTATTACATCATAGTGAGAGAATTTACAACACAGGGAAATAACATCAAATGACAAAATGGTAGACAATCATACAATACTAGGAATCATGACCTACCAGTTGACAGATATTTTTGGGGGACACAATTCAATCCAGGACAGCACATCTCTTCTACAAAACCTTCTGTGACTACTCTAGTTCATCTCCCTTTATGAGTTTATTTAGTCTCCACATAACTGTGTTGTGATGTTTACTATTAGCTCATGTGTGTTAGTCTTGCCTTTAGCTAGATTGTGCCTCCTTGAGGAAAGGAACCTTCTCATACTTTTGACAGCTCTTGGAACACTGCCAAATATACAGTAGGTGCTCAGTAGCACTTGTTTGCTGTTTCATTGGATCTCTGTTTCAGAGCTATTTGAGTATAGACTTCATTAATTTGGAAGTCATGTTTTATATGTTTTTCGGTTTTGCTTTCATAGAGCTCTTGAAAAGATAAGACCAAGATCTCAGTGATCTGACATATTTTAATATAAACTTAGCCAAACCCAAACCCATTGCCATCAAGTCAATTCCATCTCATAACGACCCTATAGAACAGAGTACAACTCCCCATAGGATTTCCAAGGCTGTAAATCCTTACAGGAGCAGACTGCCACATCTTTCTCCCGCAGAGCAGCTGGTGGGTTCGAACCACCAACCTTTTGGTTAGAAGCTGAGCACTTTAAACACTGTGCCACTAGACTCCTAACGTACACTTAAGCAAGAGCTTAAAAACATGTGCCTTTCAGTGAGGTCACATGGCAGGCTAACTCAGTCCTGAAATCGTAATAAGCCTTGAAAACCTGTTTGTTAGGCATTGTCTGGGAAGTGGTTTATAACTCAGCCACAGTTGATGGATTGTCAGAGCATTATATCAGAATTTGTTTGACAGGGATCTCAGGCTAACAAGGTGCTATAGACAGAAGCACCATGCTGTCCCTCTACAGCAAAGACCCCAAAAATTAAGTAAAACAGATACAAATGTCAATCCTAGAACCCTAAGCATCCAAAGAAGGGATAAAGAACTCGATCAAACACCAAATGGAATAAGAAACTAACAGAGAACAGAGAATGAGGAGAGCTATGGAGTGGAGGTCACCTGCCAGCTAATGCAGTATGGATTCACCACCTTGGACTACAGCCACCAAGGAATGTAGACAGGGAGTATGGGAAGGAAACTTCATGGATCTCCCAACAGGAGATGAGCACCCAGTAACCAGGGATACATGCTTTCCCGACTCCCGCCTTTCTTCCCTGTATGAGGCCTCTGCCACTTTCCAATGGACCACGGCAGCCAGAGAAACACCAGCTCACCACCACCCAGATTTGCCATCTTGGACCTCAGTCACCAAGGACTGTAGACAGGGAGTATAGGAAGACAACTTCACAGAACTCCCAACAGGAGACAGAGCACCTGCTTCACACATCACATGCTCTCCCTTCCTTCCTGCCTATCTGCACTGCATTCTGAGTGCCACACTCCCAAGCACCACAGCCATGGACCACCAGATCCCACCCTGCACTGCCCCCCAGCTCTGCCCTGTCAGCCCCAGTATGTGCTGCAAATGACCCATCTCTGCCCCTCCCCCTGCTGGACCTGCCCAGCTGCAGCATAGCTGAGCAACCGGCACTGTCCACCTGGACAAGGTGGTGAGAAATATTGTGCCCACAGATGAGCAAGCAACAAAGCATGCCCAGCCCACCTGCCCAGAAGTAACCAAATAAAACAAAATAGCAGAACAAAGCAAATCTACAATCAATAAATGAAGAAAATAATTCCTGAATGTCCTGAAGACAGCAGACAATATCAAAGCATAAAAAAGCAGAACAAGATGGCTCTGAAAGTGACCAAAATAAAATACTAGCTGACCTTCTGGTAGAAGAAAAGGCACTAGAACTACCTGACAAAGAATTCAAAACTCTAATATAAAGAGCTCTCCAAGAGATGAAGGAAAATGCGGACAAAAATAAGGAAAAAATAGACAAAATTATGAAAAATACAGACAAACTCAGGGAAAACACAGACAAAGCAATGGAAGAATTCAGGAAAATAATACAGGAAAAAATGTCAAAATAAACAAACAACCAGAAATCATGCACAAACAGCAAATAGAAATCCAAAAGATAAACAACAAGATTTCAGAAAAGGACAGTGCAATAGAAGGTTTTAGGAGCAAATTTGGAACTATGGAAGACAGGATCAGTGAAATTGAAGATAAATCCTTGGATACCACTTTTTTTTGAGGAAAAATCAGAGAAAAGGATGAAGAAAAATGAAGAAACCATGAGACCCATGTGGGGCACAATCAAAAGCAAAAATTTGTGCATGATCAGAGTTCCAGAACAAAAGGAGAAAATGGAAAACACAGAGAGGATCATTGAAGATTTGCTGACAGAAAACATCCCTAATATCATGAAAGATGAAAAACTAACCATCCAAGAAGCTCAACAATCTCTATATAGGATAAACACCAAAAGAAAATCACCAAAGCATATCATAATCACACTCGCTAAAACCAAAGACAAAGAAAGAATCCTGGGAGCAGCTCGAGAAAAACAAAAGTCACATATAAAGGGGAAACAATAAGACCGAGCTTTGATTACTCAGCAGAAACCATGCAGGCAAGAGGGCAATGGGATGACATATATAAAACCTTGAAAGAAAAAAATTGCCAACCAAGAATAATATATTCTGCAAAATTCTCACTCAATATGATGGTGAAATTAGGACATTTCCAGATAAGCGGAAATTAAGTGAATTTATAAAAACCAAATCAAGCTTACAAGAAATATTAAAGGGAGTCCTTTGGTTAGAGAACCGACAACATCAGACAACAACCTGAATCTAGGACACAGGAGAGCATCAGCCAGATACCAACCTAGGTAATTAAATCTCAAGATAAAAAAAAACTAGAAGATTTACAACAGGGAACTGGAGTGGTCAATCTGTACATGACAATAATGTCAGAACAATAAAAAAGGAAATAAACAGTGTACGTATAGAACTTTCAAATGGAGAGGAAGTCAAGGCAATACCAAGTAGTAAAAGACTAAGTTCAAACTTAAGAAAATAGGGGTAAATTTCAAGGTAACCACAAAGAAAGTTAACAAACCTACTCATCAAAATAAAGAAGAAAAACATAAAGTCTCAGTAAACACAAAATCTACAAAAATGAAACCAATGAAAAAAAAAATCCACAAAGAAAAGGAATTCAGCACAGGAGAGTAAGAGGAACAAAGAAAATGGTAGCACCACAAAAAATAAAAAATAAAAATGCACTACAAAGTGACAGCAATAAACTCACACCTATCAATAATCACACTGAACTTAAATGGCTTAAATGGACCCATAAAGAGACAGAGAGTGACAAAATGGATAAAAAAACAGCACCCATCAATATGCTGTCTACAAGAGACACATCTTAGAAACAAAGACATAAATAACTTAAAAAGCAAGGGATGGAAAAAATATATCAAGCAAATAGCTACCAAAAAACAGCAGGACTGACAATACTAATCTCAGATAAAACAGACTTTAAAAGAAAATCTACCACAACAGTCAAAGAAGGGCATTATATAATGATTAAAGAGACAATCTATCTTGAAGACATAACCATAATAAATATCTATGCACCCAATGACAGGGTTCCAAAATACATAAAACAAACTAACAGCACTGAAAAGAGAAATTGACAGTTCCACAATAATAGTAGGAGACTTCAACATCCCACTCTTGGTAAAGGACAGGATATCTAGAAAGAAACTCAACAAAGATACAGAAGATCTAAAGGCCACAATCAACCAACTTGACCTCACAGACACATATAGAACTCTCCACCCAACAGCAGCAAAGTACATATTCTTTTTCAATGAACATGGAACATTCTCAAGAATAGACCACATATTAGGCCACAAAGCAATCTTCAACAAAATCCAAAACACTGAGATAATAAAAAGCATCTTTTCTGATCACAATGCCATAGAAGTAGAAATTAATAACAGTAAGAACAAGGGAAAAAAATCAAATACATGGAATCTGAATAAAACCTTGCTTAAAAACCACTGAGTAATAGAAGAAATCAAAGAAGGAATAAAAAAATCCCTAGAATCAAATGAGAATGAAAACACTTCATACCAAAACCTTTGGGACACAGCAAAGGCAGTGCTCAAAAGCCAACTTTTAGCAATAGATGCACACATCAAAAAGATGGATAAAATAAAAATATTAGCTATACCACTTGAACAAACAGAAAGAGAACAGCAAAAGCCCATAGCCACCAGAAGAAAGGAAATAATAAAGATCAGAACAGAAATAAATGAAATAGAGGATAGAAAACCAACAGAAAGGATCAACAAAACCAAAAGTTGGTTCTTTGAAAAAATCATCAAAATTGACACACCAGCAGCTAAATTGACAAAAGAAAAACAGAAGATAACACAAATAACTGAAATAAGAAATGAAATGGGGGACATTACAATGGACCAAACTGAAATAAAAAGGATCATAACAGAATACTATGAGAAACTATACTCCAACAAATTTGAAAATCCAGAGGAAATGGACAAATTTCTAGAAACACACTACCTAACACAAACTGAGGTAAAAAATCTGAACAGAGCCATAACAAAAGAGGAGACTGAAAAAGTAATTAAAAAAATCCCCAATGAAAAGAAGTCCTGGCTCAGATGGCTTCAGTGGAGAATTCTACCAAACTTTCAAAGAAGAGCTTACACCAGTATTACTCAAACTATTTCAGAACATAGAAAAGGAAGGGATACTTCTGAATTCATTCCATGAAGCCAGCATAACCCTGATACCAAACCAGGCAAAGATCCCAAAAAAAAGGAAATTACAGACCAATATCTCTCACGAATATAGATGCAAAAATTCTCAACAAAATTCTAGCTAATAGAATTCATCATCATATCAAGAAAATAATACACCGCGACCAAATGGGATTCATACCAGGTGTGCAAGGATGGTTCAACATTAGAAAATCAATCAACGTAATCCACCACATAAATAAAACAAAAGAATCAAATGATCATCTCAATCAATGCAGAAAAGGCATTTGACAAAGTCCAATGCCCATTCCTTATAAAAACTCGCAATAAAATAGGTATAGAAGGGAAATTCCTCAACATAATAAAGGGCATCCATACAAAACCAACAGCCAACATCATTTTTAATGGACAGAAGCTGAAAACATTCCAGGTGAGAATAGGAACAAAACAAGGATGCCCTTTATCACCACTCCTATTTAACACTCTGCTGGAAGTCCTAACTAGTACAATAAGGCAAGAAAAAGAAATAAAGGGCATCCAAATTGGTGATGAAGAAGTTAAACTGTCCCTGTTTGTGGATGATATGATACTCTACATAAAGAACCCAAAAGACTCCAGGAGAAAACTACTGGAACTAATAATAGAAAGATTCGACAGAGTAACAGGATACAAGATAAACATACAAAAATCAGTTGGATTCCTATACACCAATAAAGAGAAGTACAAAAGGAAATCAGGAAAGCAATACTATTTGTAATAGCTCCTAAAAAAGAAAAATGCTTGGGAATAAATCTAACCAGGGACATAAAAGGCCTATTCAAAGAAAACAACAAAATACTACTGCAAGAAACCAAAGGAGACCTCCGTAAATGGAAAAATATACCATGCTCATGGATAGGTAAACTCAACATTGTGAAAATGTCGATTCTACCCAAAGCAATTTACAAATACAATGCAATCCCTATCCAAATTCCAACAGCATTCTTTAAAGAGATGGAAAAACTTATCCTTAATTCTATATGGAAAGGGAAGAGGCCCTGGATAAATAAAGCACTATTGAAGAAGAAGAATAAAATAGAAGGACTTGTACTACCTGACCTCAGAATCTACTATACAGCTGAAGTAGTCAAAACAGCCTGGTACTGGTACAATGACAGACACATTGACCAATGGAACAGAATGGAGAACTCAGCTGTAAATCCATCCACCTGCAGTCACCTGATCTTCAACAAAGGCCCAAAGTCCATCAAACGGGGAAAAGACACTCTTTTTAACAAATGGTACTGGCAAAACTGGATGTCCATCTGCAAAAAAATGGAACAGGACCCATTCCTCACACCATACACAGAAAATGAATCAAGGACCTAAATATAAAACCAAAAACTGTAATGATCAAAGAAGAAAAAATAAGATCAATGCTAGAGGCCCTAGTACATGGCATAAACAGGATAGAAACCATAATCAACAATACACAAACACCAGAAGATAAGCTAGTAACTGGAATCTTCTAAAAATTAAACACTTATGCTCATCAAAAGACATCACTGGAAGAGGAAAAACAGAACCTACAGCCCGGGAAAAAATTTTTGGTATGACAAATCTGACAAAGGTCAAATCTCTAAAATCTATAGGAAAATCCAACACCTCAGTTGTTTATTCAGGGAGTCAAAGCTGAGTTTAAAGTGACTGAAGAATTAGCCTCTATGAATAAGTGAGTGATGTGAACTCCTAGAAGACGGCTCCAATGGCCATTGATTCATCAAATGTGTGTTAAGCCTCTATGTACCAGGCATTATTTTTTACTTTAGGACTAGGGCAGTAAATAAGAAAAAGTCCCACTTTTATGAAACTTATATTCTAGTGGGATCCAGAGAAGTAAAGTGATAGGTCAGGTCTTCACGGTAAGAAGAGGGAAGACAGAAAATAAAGGAAAATATGCAAGTAGGCGGGTGAAGTTTTTCTTAAAAAGAGGAGAAGCCCCTCAGTTTGATTATTTGTTTATTGAGCTTGTTGTATTTCCCTATAGATTTCTGGAAGTTAACCATGTTTTATTTATCTGGTCACAGTACAGTGTCTTTATAAATAATTGTGCACAGAAAAACTTTGCCCAGTTTTTATTACATGCTCTTTTTCTGACATGAGGAAAGTGAAGAGCCTACTGAACTTCTGCCACTAAAACCCTTCACACCTCCCAATGTCAAAAATTATAATCACTGCTTCCCCTAAACTTCCTGAATCTCTTAAACTATGAAAACAGTCACAAGGGTGGTGAGCACTTCACACTTGTTAATTCATCATGGACAGGACCACTACATGCAGTTGAGCAGCCTGTGGCCTGCACAAAGATGCTGCATGGAAGGGGCAAGTAGGGGCTGAAATCCAGCCCAGACTGGACATGGGGCTTGATGTGGGCTGCCAGCCCTGGGGAAGGAGATGCCTTTGTGTACTTCCCCACAGGAGAGAGCACTTTTTTGCAATACACAGCTAAGTGCAGCCCTGATGGAGAAGCTCAACTGAGCTGTTTTACTTGGGCTTGCTACAGCCCAGAGAGTCTCCTGTTAGTTTTAGAAATGATCAGAACCTGTTGCCCTCTAGTCGATTCCTACTCATGGTGACCCCATGTGTTACAGAATAGAACCAAGCTCCATAGGGTTTTCTGGGCTGTAATCTTTATGGAAGCACGTGCTGCTGGGTGGGTTCAAACAGTCACTCTTTCAGCTGGTATTTGATCACAAACTGTTTGTACCACCAAGGGACCTCTAGAAATGGTAAGTCATGAAGATGCCTAACTAAACAATCATTTAATACCTTTGAAAACCATATCGTATCAGTTTACTTATACAGTTTTAATTCACAAAAATTTTCAGTTAGCTCCAGAGCCAAAAAGGTGATTGTCCTTGTTGGCTTCTCCACTCCATTTGTACAGATACCCTGGAGTTTGTTGTATTATAGATGCATATTGCTGTGCTTTTTATTTTAAACAACCTCTCACATGAGATGTCCTTTCATTCTCCTCAGGTTGGTTAAATTTAAACTTAAGAGGTTCTGCCCCTCAGAAATTGGACTCCTGAAAAATGCTGAACGAGAACAGGAACTGGAAGAAGAGATGTGATTTTGATGGGCATCCAGTCTTTCTAGACAATCCTTATCTTCTGCACGTTATTTTTGTTCATGGTTTTGTTTCTCGATCTTTTGTTTTGAGAATTCTTGGCTAAGGATAGCCCTCAGTGTACGGTTTGTATTTCCAATTTTGTTAACATATTTGAATTTACATGTTTTATTTTTAGGTTTGAAATAATTTTGCTGATTAGTTCCTTTTGCAAGTCGGTTGTGGTATTCAGGGGCTGCAATGACTCCTCAGCTCATCTGAAGTTTGATGCCCACACTATGAAAAATATTGTTTTATTTGCCTTATAGATATTCTCAAGGGGCCTGGGCTTGCTACCATCTGTAACTTGTTAAACATGGGATTACACTTGTGTATCTTGTTGCTGCAATGAGAAATCAATAAATGTGTGCACCTTAGTTCAGACCCTTCAGATCTTGTTTTTGTTATTCACTTGCATTCCACCCTGTTATGAAGAAGCAGCTACATAACACTGAAGTTCCTCTTGTGAGACACCTCTCTGTAGCATCTGAGTTCTCCCATGGGAAAGTAGGCCACAAGTTGAGTTGTGCAGTGTTTCAGAAAAGATAAAAGATGTCAATACTAATGAGATCTCCAGGACACATGGTTGAAAAGCTATGAGAGAGTTAGGAAAGAGAGTTGTGATGTTATCTAACCAAAACCGAACCAAACCTGGTGCTGTTGGGTCGATTCTGACTCATAGTGACCCTATAGGACAGAGTAGAACTGCCCCATAGGATTTCCAAAGATTGGCTGGTGGATTTGAACTGCCGACCTTTTGGTTAGCAGCCAGGCTCTTAACCGCTGGGATACCAGGTCTCCATGATGTTATCTATAAAGAGTAAAATGTCATCATGCAGCATAGTAGGGTTACCATGCCATTCCTTCTACTAAAGTGGTTGAGGGGTGAAAACAAGAAAAAGCCTTTTATGGACTATCTAGTCTGTGGGCTAAGGAGCCCCCAGTGGAAAGTCAGAAAAGCTAGTTTCTAATTCTAGCTCTGTCGTTAACCAGCCTTGAGGGCTTTGGCAATCACCATGTAACCAGTTGCCGTGGAGTAGACTGACTCATGGCAACTCGATGTATGTCAGAGTAGAATTATGCTCTGTAGGATTTTCAATGGCTGATTTTTCAGAAGTAGATTGACAGGCCTTTCTTCTTAGGTGCCTCTGGGTGGCCTCGAACTGCCAACCTTTTGATTAGCAGCTGAACGCATTAACTGTTTACAACACCACCCAGGGATCCGTTCACCATGTACTTCTCTCTAAAGTAATGGAATTGAACTGAATGAGTTCTGGGGCCTTTTATGTTGCCACATTTTATGAATCTAGATTTGCTGAGATGAAATTGAAGGATGTGGACAGCTAATTTTGTACAACATTAGTCAGAAAGGCCATTCTTTGCTGCGACCTTAATAGGAAGGAGGCGTGCCAGAATCCATGCACAATGGCCCAATTGTAGAGGAATAGAATCAGCCTGTGGGTCACTGGAGGTGAAACATGGACAATTGACAGAAGCACTGACAAATCCACTCTGGTGTATGTCACAGTGACACTGAAGAGGGAGGTGAGCGGATTCCTCAGGTCAAAGAACTGGACACATTTGTTTTGTTATATGAGGTTTGAAATGAGCAGATGTGGGTGCCTCAAGGTTTCTCTAAACCTTAGTGCATTTCTGGGATATTGTAAATGGGTACCTACCACAGTCCAGCAAGTTTCTGTGACTTTGACAGTATGGGTCTCAAAGCAGTAGCTATCAGGTATAGTTGCTTGAGAATGGCATTGCTGGTATCTAGGCCTGAGCAAGAATTCCAGGATAAATTAGCGTTAATAATTAATGCTGGAATTTTGAAACTGATATGTGGAAATATTACAGCAGTCTATGCATAATGTCCAGTCTGCCAGTCTCTACATACAAAGAATACAAGTGAGATGCAACCCATGAGTTCGCAGGGTGAGAAACCTTTGGTTCAGGTCTAAGTCCTGTAGACCCAGAAATGAGAAATATATTTGAACACCATTATTGTAACCTTATGGTTCTGTTATTGAATTTGTGTCTTACAACTAATCATTTTCATGGCATGCCATAAAAAATTAGCAAAATGTGAACTGAAGCCAAAATAGGAGAGACTGGAATTTTGTTTACATTGTGCTTTCTGGGCAGCAAGAGCAAGAATATTTTATAAACTGGTAAATTAGGAAGTCAAGAAGTAGAATTTATAAAGGTTTGATTTACCAAGAAGCATATTTTAGTAAATTTTCTGAAATTGTGAAAAATATTATATAACAAAGGCATTAAAGTTTTTAAGCTTTAAGAGCCTAAAAAAAAAAGCAAAAGCCAAAACCATTGCCCTTGAATTGATTCCGACTCATAGCGACTCTATAGGACAGAGTAGAACTGCCCCATAGGGTTTTCAAGGATTGGCTAGCGGATTCAAACTGCCGACCTTTTGTTTAGCAGCCAAGCTCTTAACCACTGGGCCACCAAGGCTCTGTGATGTCATCTATAAAGAGTAAAATGTCATCACAGCATAGTAGGGTTACCATGTCATTCCTTCTGCTCAGGTAGTTGAGGGGTGAAAACAAGAAAAAGCCTTTTATGGAATATCTAGTCTGTGGGCTAAGGAGCCCCCCAGTGGAGAGTCAGGAAAGCTAGTTTCTAATTCTAGCTCTGCCGTTAACCAGTCTTGAGGGCTTTGGAACTCACCATGTAACCAGTTGCCGTGGAGTAGACTGACTCATGGCAACTCGATGTATGTCAGAGTAGAATTATGCTCTGTAGGGTTTTCAGTGGCTGATTTTTCAGAAGTAGATTGCCAGGCCTTTCTTCTGAGGTGAAGCTGAGTTCTTAACCACTAAGAGCTTATGATGGGGGGACTTAGATTTTAAGCCACCCTTATCAACCTGTGAAGTCCCTGAGTGGTGTAAATAGTTAACGTGTCTGGCTGTTAACTGAAAGGTTGGAGGTTTGAGGTGCTTTGGAAGAAAAGCCTGGCAATTTACTTCTGAAAAATCGGCCATTGAAACCTCGATGGAGCACAGCTTTGCCCCGACACACATGGCACGGCCATGAGTGGGAATTGACTTGACAGCAACTGTACTCAGGCTCGATCTCGTATATACCGTTTGCATTTAATGATGGAGTGCTGCCATGCATGTCCAAATTTATGACTTTGTTGGTCAGACAACACCCAGTTCATGATGCGCAGCTCAGGCCTCCTGGTGACTTGGTGTCTCATGGTTAAGCCTTCAGTCTCCACTAAGGCCCAGTAACAAGCCAAGAGTTGTTTCTCAAAAGGAGAGTAGTTATCTGCAGAGGATGGGAGAGATTTGCTCCAAAATCCTAAGGATCCGCCCTGTGATTCACTAGTAGGGGCCTGACAAAGACTCCAAAGAGTATCTCTATCTGACACTGACACTTCAAGCACCATTGGATCATCTATACAGCCCAAGTGGCAGAGTGGTTTGCACAGCAGCCTGAACCTGTTGCAGAGCCTTCTCTTGTTCTTACCCGACTCAAAACTAGTAGCTTTTCGAGTCACTTGATAAATAGGCCAGAGTAGCACATCCAAGTGAGGAATACATTGCCTCCAAAATCCAAAGGAGGCCCACTAGGCATGTGCCTCCTTTTTAGTTGTCGGAGCAGCCAGATGCAATAACTTCCCTTCATTTTAGAGGGAATGTCTCCACATGCCCCACATCACTGGACCCCTAGAAATTTCACTGAGATGGAAAGTGCCTGAATTTTTGTGGGATTAATTTCCTACCCTCTAGCATACAAATATTTTACCAATAAGTCCAGAGTCATTGACACCTCTTTGTTACTAGGTCCAATCAGCATAATGTCATCAATGTAATGGACCATTGACGTCTTGTGGAAAGGAAAGCCGATCAAGGTCCCTGCGAACTAAATTATGACATAGGGCTGGAGAATTGATGTAGCCCTGAGCTAGGCAAGTGAAGATGTATTGTTGGCCTTTCCAGCTGATGGCAAACTGCTTCTTGTGGTCCTTTGAAACAGATATGGAGAAAAAGGCATTAGCCAGATCAATAGCTGCATACCAGGTACCAAGAGATGTGTTAATTTGTTCAGGCAATGAAAGCACATCTGCAACAGCAGCTGCAATTGGAGTCACCACCTGGATAAGTTTTCGATAATCTACTGTCATTCTTCAAGATCCATCTGTTTTTTGCACAGGCCAAATAGGTGAGTTGAATGGGGATATGGTGGGAATCACCACCCCTGAATCCTTCAAGTCCTTAATGGTGGCAGTAATCTCTGCAATCCCTCCAGGAATGCAGTATTGCTTTTGGTTTACTATTTTCCTAGGTAGGGGCAGTTCTAATGGTTTCCACTTGGCTTTTCCGACCATAATAGCCCTTACTCTATTTGTCAGGGATCCAATGTGGGGGTCCTGCCAGTTGCTGAGTATGTCTATTCCAATTATGCATTCTGGAACTGGGGAAATCACTACAGGATGTGTTCATGGATCCACTGGACCTACAGTGAGACGGACATGAGACAAGACTCCATTAATAACCTGACCTCCATATGCCCCTACTCTGACTGGGGGGCCACAGTGACTTTTTGGTTCTCCTGGAATTAGTGTTAGTTCAGAGCCAGTATCCAGTAATCCCCCAAAAGTCTGATTATTTCCTTTTCCCCAATGAACAGTCACTCTTGTAAAAGGCTGTAGATCCATTTGGGGAAGACTGGGAGAAAGATTAACGGTAAACATTTTTGGCAGTGTATTGGAGTCCTTCCTCAAGGGGACCCAGCCTCCCTTTCATTCAAGGGGTTATGAGTCTTCAAACTCGCTCGAATTTGGGAATTGATTGAGGGACCATGACTCTCTATTCTGGCGATTCGAGTTAGACTGCTGTTCACTTGACCTAGAATTCATCCATTTTTGCAGATCAAGTAAATGTTTAGTAGATTTCCTATCTATTTCACTCGCAGGGACACCATGACTAAGTAGTGAACAC